AATTGGCCAGGATGCTGCCGTGAGAGCTAACGAGCTTGTCTCTCGAGGAGTTCTTAAGCTGTGTGTCCCCCCCCCCCCCGTGTTTTGGTTCATGTTGTGTTGTTTATCCACGATTAACTCTGTCTAGTCCATCATCAAAATGAAGCTGCAGTCTCTTGTCGCCCTCGCCCTCTCGGGCTATGCCACCGCCCAGAGCCGTGTCAACCTCACTGCTGCTCTCGAGTCTGAGAACTCTACCCTCTCTGAGCTCAGCGGTATGTTACTGTATCTCATCTGTCGATGCAAGCTGACCATGTAGGCCTCCTTCGTGCCCAACCCAGTCTTCTCAGAGACCTTGGCCGTCTCAGGAATGTCACCATCCTGGCCCCAAGCAACGATGCCATCAAGGACCTACTCAATGACACCGCTGTCGCCCGCATGGTCGAGAATGATCCCAGCTCCGTCGCTGCTATCCTTCAGTACCACGTTCTGAACGGCACCTACTATGCTAGCAACATCAGCGATACGCCCGCTTTTGTCCCCACGCTCCTCAACAACGCGACATATGCCAATGTCACCGGTGGACAGCGTGTCGAGGCTATGGCCATGGGCGATACTGTCAGCTTCTACAGTGGTTTCCGTCAACAATCCAATGTCACCAAGGCTGTAAGTCATCCAATTGATCAATCACAGTATTCACTAACACACTCAGGACCTCAACTTCACTGGTGGTGTCATCCACATCATCAACAAGGTCCTCGCCGTTCCCAAGAACCTTTCAGACACGGCCATTGCCGCCAACCTCTCCGCCGTTGCTGGCGCTCTCACCGAGTCCAAGCTCGTCACAAACCTCACCAATGAGAAGAACATCACTGTCTTTGCTCCCAGCAACAGCGCCTTTGCCAACATCGGCTCTGTCCTCTCCAACTTGAGCGAGTCAGACCTTGAGAGCATTCTCAAGTACCATGTTGTCAACAACACCCTTGGCTACAGCTCTACCCTCAAGAACGGTACTCTTACCACTTCTGAGGGTGAGAAGCTCAACATTGTTATTCACAACGGTACTGTCTTTGTCAATGAGGCCAAGGTCATTGTCCCTGATGTCCTCATTGCCAACGGTGTCGTCCATGTTATTGATGCGTAAGTCACTCACCCACTTCCACAAACCCAACTAACACCTTCAGTGTCCTCAACCCCGACAAGCCCTCTGCCACCGCCAACCCTACTGCCAGCACTCAGGAGGCCGCTTTCTCCGGCGCCAGCTCCGTCAGCGACATCCCCTTCACATCGGGCGTTCCCGAGAACACAAACACAGCTGCGGCTACTGGCCTGTCGCCTTCGACCTCCACTGAAGGCGCTGCCCAGGCCACTGCTGCCATTGCGCTCGGTGCCCTTTTCGGTGGCGCCGCCCTTGTCATGAACTTCTAAGCTTGGTCGGATTAATGGTTAATGGTTATGTGCATAGTATGGATTAATGGACGATAGTAATGATGGTTTGAATATATGATTTGACCTATGACTTGTACCTTGCAGTGAAAGTTTAATAAGTCTCGTTGCCCCCGAAGCCACGGCACATGCCAGAGTGACTCGCTCAAATTTCCGTAGCAGGCCCTTCATCCCCGTAGATAGGATCTTTCCTAAACCACTCCACGTTCTTAATAGCTTCCACCTTTTCCTCCTCGCCCTTCTTCCCATAGCACATATCCCAGCCACAACCCTTCGGATAACTCCCGACCATCTCAAACCCACCATCCAGATCCTCCAACAGCCGATGCCCCACTCCCGCAGGCACAATAACAACATCGCCCGTTTCCACCACCGGCTCAACCCTCCCCTCATTATCCTCGCCACCAAAGCATAAGCGGGCTCTGCCGTGGCTTATGCAGAGGACCTCGTGGGTCGTGCTGTGGAAGTGTGTTTGGGAGTACATTGTGTAGCGCCACTGTGGTGTTACCACGTCAATTGAGTTTAGGTGCGCTTCAATCTTTGATGCGGTTATGGGGGGCTTGAAGGCGGCGTGGTAGTGGAGGAGGGGCTTTTGGTGGATGCTGCAATTGGGGATAAGGTTGTGAGATGGGATGAGATGTTTGGAGACGCGGAGAGATGAGAGAGGTGTTAGAGACATTGTGAATGGTTCCAGTGTAGGTAGCGTATTGAAGATGTGAGAAACTCGGTGATGCTGTGATGTTATTGAGCTGCTGATGCATGAAGTGACCATTCCACCTGACGTCATTATTCCATCTGTAGGGTAGAGCAGTAGAGCAATTTTCACCGCATTTAACAAGCTATCCCAGCAACTCAAGTATTTTCCTATGCTCTCGCGCATTGCACGATAATCAATAACAGGAGTCAGTCATAAAATGCGATACCTACCCGGAACCCAAGCATTGGCGCTTCCCCACGATCGGGACCCACGTGGCGGCCGGGGAGGCTCCCGGTGTCGACACGCCAAGTCCGCTTCGTCCGGCTGGGCATGAGCACCCTTGACGATAGCCAGAGGCAATATTAGAACTCCATACTCACCAGATTCATATCTAAGATATCTTTATGGATAGTTTAGGAACCATTTTTAATGGAGCAATTACCTCCAGTCTGTATTGAAGAATGATCCGAAGTCACATTTACTGCAAAGTAGCGAGAATTAATGGTAGAGCCTAGTTGACTTAAACTGGTTTCATAGAGAGAAAATTTATTACGAAGCTGAGAAGTCATGCATCTTTAGGGCGTAAGGGATGTTTCTAATGGGTTCAGCACACGAATTCATAACAGACAGCCTAAACAGCTCAACAAACACAGATCCCCCAACTGAACGAAAAATTGGTTGAGGGAAGACATGATACAAAAACCAAAATAACAAGGTCAGTTTATCATGGCCATTGTGTTAAAGGAGCCCAGATACCCGCTGTATACGAGCAGCCCCCCTGGAGCAAGAGTAGCATCGAAGTTATCTAAGAGGATGGGATGAGGCCTTTGGCATCTGTCAAAAGTCTGGACGAAAGCTATGTTCTCGACAGGATATTCGAGATTAGGCTGTATAAAGTTAAGCTTAACGCAATGAATAACAGTGCACAGTCTACGGGATTGGGTGGAATACGGCCATTGTGGACAGGGTAATCAGCTGGATGATAACGGACTATTCCCCATGGTATCAATTCACTAGACCGACTATACGACGAATCGGAATGCAGCTGTCAAGTACGCGTATCGGTTTATTAATAGTCCCTGTAAAACTCCAGATTCACCGGTGACTATTGCTCAATACAAAGTCGAGCTTGGATCCTGTTCAATGCACCGATGCTCATCGCCTTCATGACTCGATCAATGGAACAGGTAACCTTATCGTTGCATTGAAACGACAATGTCATGTGCTGCCTTGCGTCAATCTTCAATGCAACCAAAGAGACACCCAGACTCGTTAGATCTGCTACCCGCGGCGATATGCTTCTTACCCACCCGGACAAGATACCTCATGAAGGAACAATCTGCGTTTTTATGAGGCCAAAGCTTTCGGCAGATCACTGAGTCTAGCTTCAAAGGTGGAATAACAGCGAACACTTTGCGCAATGTGTCAAGGCCATGCGAGAAGCATACCAGATCTGCTTCATGGCCACTGACAGACGCAGGGTTTGTGACCACATGGAACACCTGCAAGCAATCTAGAACATGTTGTCAAACAATCAGGGGTGAACAGTGCATCAGTCGAGGTTGCATTTTCTAACGATGGCAAGGGTAATATGCAAGTAATCCATGTCGATGGAGACCTACAAAACATTAAAGCCAACAAACCACGGGCGAAGTAACATAATTGTAGTCAAATGATGACCACCAAGTGGAGAGAGCATTAATCATTGCCAAGTCAACTACTCTATCGATGACAGAACGCGTTCTGCCAGATTCCTTAGTGACCGTTGATGTAACAGCCCTAGGACCATGACTAGCTAGCTACCTATCAATATGTATGTACAAGGCTAGCGGTCTGGACAGGTCTAGCTTCTAGTTCCAATAGCTTCACCGAGGCGAGGATGGAAATGGGTCACCTCCGCAAAACGCTACGATAGTACGAGAACCTTGTTTCCCAGGAGCGAACCCATTCTGTTCAATCGTCCGAAGCTATTAAATTGCATGTGAGAATAGACCGCGCTCGGGGCAATGTTTTTCTTGTCGTGATAAGCTTTTGGAAATGTCCTCGTCTTCGGTTGAATTGCCGCGTTGAGCTGAAACCTGGGGTAGCATCGGACCAAGCTAACCCGAGTTTTATCAGGCTGATTTGAGTTCTGATGAAGCACAAAAACTCGGAACAAAGGGGGCGTCCTTTGGTTACGGAATGGTTCCGTTGCAAAAATCATGCATTTGGCTGACTCGAAGTTGAGCGCCTCCAAGAGTCATTGTGCTGATCATTTCCATTCTCACATTTAAGCCAAATCTCGAGATGATCTTCGTCCACAGCCCAACCAATCCTTGGCGAGACAGGGATCGGGCCGTTGGCACATGCCAAGCTGATTGATTGATTTGATTGTCAAGGATCTTTTGCTTACACTAACCAGTGAGACACCTTCCAGAATTGGGACCTCACCCACGACTTGAAACTCCGGTCTCTTTCTCACCACAAAAAAAGGAGGCTACCGATGCCCGGCAGTCCCTTGCCGATTAGTGCGGTACCTGATATTTCAGCCCAAACTAAATTACTGTACCGCCTAGTGACAGTCCAAGTTACGAGATACTCTAAACAAACCTGAGCTTGCGTCAATTAATACACTAGAGCTATTAGCCCCTGCAGGGAACACAAACCTGTAGGCGATGTGACGCTGTATCTGGAAGAATCCGGATCATCCATGTTTTAACTTGCTTCCAAATTGACGGGACGAACGCAGTGGGGTTGCGCTGATCCCTTGAGACGATGACTGTAAGGTCAAGGTTTAAAAACAGAGAACCCCTACTTCTGCCCCAAAGCAAATCTGTTAAATATCCCCTGGGGTCCGCACACGCGGGTCGTCCTCCTTGTAAAACGTTTGTCGATCAATATGAAGTGGATTGTGCCTTTTCTGGTAGTCTTTGTGCCCCTGGCAGCGGCAGCGGATGCAACCAAAGAGTTGTTGACCAGTCTGCCTGCCTGTGCAGTGAGTTAGCCCGTCAATAGGGTTGTTTGTGCTAATGTTGTAGGCTCCTTGTTATGAAGATGCCATCAAAAAGTCGGACTGCAACTCGACCGACGTGAAATGTGTGTGCTCAACTCAAGTCATTATCCAAACAGCAGAGGCATGCGCCGCCCAAGCATGTCACGTCAGAGATAGTCTGAGTACGTCGACCCTCCTCTAACACCACCTGTCGTTAACATCAACAGCAACGCTCAACATGACATACACCTACTGCGAAGTCCCCGTACGAAATAAAACCCCCATCTTCATCAACGTCACAATCGTCCTCGGCGTGATATCTGGCGTCGCAACCGCCCTGCGTCTCTGGTCCAAGTTCTTCTACACCAAGACCGAACTCGGCCTTGACGACCTCTTCATCGTACTCACGCTCTTCATCGGCATGCCCTCCACCGCCATGAACATCCACGGAACCGCCGGGCACGGAGAAGGCCGCGATATCTGGACGCTGGAGTTTGATGACATCACAAAGTTTGGGTTTTACTTTTGGCTGCTCGAGATATTCTACTTTGCACAGGTTTCGCTGCTCAAGACGTCGTTGTTGTTCTTTTACCTGAGGATCTTCCCGGGGAATGCGCAAAAGCTGCTCTGGGGGACTATTATTTTCAATAGTGTTTTTGGTGTCTTGTTTATGTTTTTGGCGGCGTTTCAGTGTACGCCTGTGAGCTATTTCTGGTTGAACTGGGATGGAGAACACAAGGGAACATGGTATGTCGGCAGTCTGAATGTGTGATTACCGGACTTGACTAACAGTATAAGCATGAACTCAACTGCCATCGGCTGGGCCAATGCATCTATCAGTGTTGCTGTGGATGTATGGATGCTTGCAGTTCCATTGTGGTATCTCCGAAAGCTCAAACTGCATTGGAAAAAGAAGATTGGTGTCGCTGCCATGTTCATCGTGGGAACCTTGTAAGTCATTCGCCAATTTCAACGAGCGTAGCTAACCTTTCAGCGTCACCGTCGTGAGCATCATTCGTCTCCAATTCCTCGTCGATCTCGGCTCATCTCACAACCCAACATACGACCAAACCGACATCTCCATCTGGTCAACCGTTGAAATCAACGTCGGTATCATCTGCGCATCCATGCCGGCTCTACGAGTCATTCTCGTCCGTCTGTTTCCCTCTCTCGGAGGCTCATCCTACGATTCGAGCAAATACAACAACTACGGGGAACATTATGGACGGAAATCACATATCATGAGTCGAAGTCGTGCTCGGGTGGAGTTACCTTCTCATACAGGTGATTCCATACATACGCCTGAGCATGGAGGTATTGAGTTGCAGAGGACGTTTCATGTGCAGTATAGTGAAAATGATGAGCAGAGTCTTGTTAATGGGGAGAGTAAGTTTAACAAGACGCAGGTTACGACTCAGATGAGGTCTGAAAGTCCAAGCGATAGGTCATTGTAGACCCATAACGTTATTTGATTGATACCATAGCAGAACTAATGAACATATTCTTACATACTGTGTACTTCTATTCAGTTTGGATTCCTGTAGAGCTTGGGACCAGGCGCGTAGTCGGGTCAATGCACGCGATCCATTAAATGCACAGACTTATCATGTCTTTGTTGGTTGAGCAAAGCCATCGTGGAGGGTAACTTATTAGGCCGACCCTGTTCGGCGACAGAGGTCACCGTAGTTCACGACACTTTTCAGATAAATAGAGTCTACAAATCCGCGGATCGTACTCGAGTGAAAATTTGCAGACTGTTTCCTCAAGTTCCTCGAATTTCATTCAAGCATGACCCTGGTGATGTTGCGTTGTACGCACAAGCCGCACTTCTGCGACTAGTTCAACGCCACTTTGTATTGTCTTGAGAATAATATCAAATTCAACGTGATTCTGGATCTAGACGAGCTATTGTTCTTTATACAGCCAATGAACATGCATAAGTCCCTGTTGGTTTCTAACCATTCTCAGCTCATGCTTGCAACGAGTCGTATCTAAAGGGAACGCTTTCACTTCTTTCCACTGAGAACAAGTTTGAAAGTGAATCGGAGAACGAGAAATATTCAAAAAGTAAAAGACAACATGGGCAGCTCTTGTATTGAGGGAGCAGCCATCACCATCCAGCCACTATCACAAGCTTCACATATCTACCATGGCAGTGATGTGTTTCGACAGTTTGAAACTTGCAGAGAATCTGTGAATGGCCACCTGAGAAAGTATTTCGAACACATCGGACATGAAGAGAACCATGAACGCCTTCCTGGACTTTATGCCAGACCTCTTCCACCCCGAGGATCAGAGGCAGATCAGTGTGCCCAACTCTCACAAACCAACGCTATACATGATCTCATCAAGCTCAACGACATTCTTGGACAGATCAAACAACAGGAGCGGCTCTATAGCAAGTCTATATCTCCACTCATTGTTGCATGGTATGTATCATGGCCCTGTTAGGTTCATTGCTTACAAGCATAGGATGGCATTTTGCTTCACCTTGTCATACGTCACCTCGCCAGGCGATCTGTCTGTCCTTCTGGAGATCGGGACTGTTTCGGGAGCTTTAGCTACCGCTGCTCAGATATTTCGAAAGTTTCTGCAGTTGAGAAAGATTACTCCTTTGCAGCACAAGGTGCGAGGACTGGTTCGAGCGTTCAAGAATGGGACAATACGGTATAGGGATTCGGAGGAGGTCATGATTTCGTCGCTAAATTAGATTTAGTTGCGTACAGCGATTAGTTGTTACGAAAGCTTCACATGGCCGCCGTCTCACGTGCTTAGATTTCAGCCCTATGCGGCCTGTGACCCAACTCTTAGGATATAGCGGCGCAGCTTGCTTGGCAAGTATATTTGTTTTCTTGGCTTCCTGGCGATGTTTTGGAGACTGCCAGCTTCCTCTTCTGGACCGGCTTGTAAATAAACGACTTCCTCATTCATCCCGCAAGACCTTGTGCCGCGACCCTGCATCGTGATCACGATCGATCGGATCCTACGTCAATTAGGTGCGGGTTAGAAGACTGGGGGCTCAGAATGTACAATGGGAGAGTCCAAATGTTATTTAAATCCTAGGTATGAAGTATAGTCTATTCCTCAGACTCGTTATCCTTGTCAAGCACATGATTTGCCGGGCGCTCAGGGACAAGAAAAACGGCAAAGGATGTTGAAGGGAGAGAGATGCAGAACATGACAAAGGCAACGATGAGGTTGGTGAGAGATGGAACCTTGGCAGCACCAACACCAAATGCCAAGCATGAACCAAGAGACTCGAAAGATCGGACCAAGCCAACAGCGAGAGTCAGGGTCTCCACGTCCTCGAAGAAAGTTCCAATGATCCAGTACACAAACATGTAATGAGATTCGTTCATGAATCTGATATGTTAGCACTTGTTTCTCATATGTAGGTAGATGTGAACTTACCGAAGAAGAACTTGCACAGCAAATCCACGACCGAAGCCAGGGAGGTCCCAGTCGAGAGTGACAGCAGGGTTGGCGCTACGATACTCCAACTCCATAGCAAACTGCCAACCAAACAGAGCAGTCATGGTAACGGCCAAGAACACCCAGGTAATCCTAGCAAGCTGGGGTCGGCTAAAGTACTTGAGGTCGAAGAACCAACCCCAGAAGATATTGGCAGCGGTAGCAGCAATACCAGAAGTCAGTGAAGCCAAAGCACGAGCTCGGACAGAAAAGTAGTTGACGAGATAAATGCCCAGGTACGTGCTGTTCCAGTTGAAGCCAACGAGAATAGGAATCAAGAGGAAGAATTGCTTGCGCTTGATGAGAGCGCCCCATCGTCTGCACTGTTCTTTGATGCTCTTGTTGGTTTGGGTGTGAGGCAGCTTGGAGCCATCGGGCCGGATGACTTTGTTGGGAGGTGAGATGAGAAGGGCGAGAGGAAGACCGAGGCATTGAAGAGCGATGAGGACGAGATAAGTGGTGTATCCAACACGACCTCTCTTTCCAGACTCGACATTGAGTGAGAGTTGAATGGAAGAGCCAATGAGTTGACCGAGCTCACGAAGACCAAGCCAAATTCCAGCTGCAAGAGTTAGTACCGTGACTTTGCGACCAGAAGATATCACTTACTGAACTTTCCACGATCCTTGACATCACCATATCCCAGAGCGATAGCACCCTCCGAAGCCCAAAGCGCAGAAGCAGCAATACCGCAGGTAGCGCCACCAAACAGAACAAACCACTCAACACCATATCTGTTATTGGTGTAAAGCGCCGCAGAATACGGTGCATACCCAAGGGTGCCGATGACAAGAACCCATTTCAGACCGATCTTATTGGCCAGGATACTAAAGATGGAACACCCGAAAACCATGATGCCAAAAGTGAGCGAGTTGGCGCCATTGACAAGGTATGGTTCCTGCTGACCACCAGCGCCGGTATCTAGAATTGTCAGCGATGGAAAGTGAACTGACGGTATACATACTGTTGAGGGCATTCCAGATTCCTGGTTGAGTGAAGGAGATTAAACCAACGACTATGACATTGAATAAAGGACTGCGATACCATCGTGTAAACCGAGATACAGGCTTAGACTGCTCGATGCTCTGTTCAGTGACATCCTTGACATCTTTATCGCTGCCCGATTCGATGACAGGGCTGGACGACATTTTGACACACAGACATCCAAAGTCAAAGACAAACTCAATTCAGAAATGTTTCCAACCCTCACCTCTTATAAGCCCCTCTCATATCGCCATTCTCTCACAAGATTTTCATCAATGGAGTATCAATTGTGGATTGGAACAAGGTTGGTGCTCAACTCTTCCGAATCAGGCTAGAATCGCAAGTTGCCCGACGATGTAGTCAGTGGCCATTTCCACTTTTTGCGATTGTCCGTTCATTTCGTGCTCGACAGGGTCGATGGCGACATGATATCTGGTTCTCTGTGGATGATGGGCATCTGCAAGTGCTATAATATACCTTATCGATGACTATGCATAATCTTAATCATGAGTATTAGTGAAACCGTTGACGATACATGCAGGCATCTCCGCTCGCGAGTCAATATCGGAAGCTTAAATACTGGCCAATCATGTATCTTTCCGACGGCCTGACTCGAGTCTCAAGTCGGAAACGTCTCCGCCCTCTCCAACTCCCCCATTCTCCCCCGTTACCCAACTTTGTTTCTCATCACCTCATCGACGCTTCCCATCGTCGGTAACAGATCAACCTCCGAGTATTTTTTTCGTTTATCATGGCGGGGCGGAACTCTGACTCTCAGAGCCAGACATCCCCGCTCGAGTCTGGTGATTCGCCGCGTCCCAGACAAGCAGCCTGTCTCGTATGTCGCCGCTCAAAGATCAAATGCGACTGGAAACCGCACCAGGAACGATGCAGGAGATGTATACAGCTTGACTGCGAGTGTGTACGTCCCGCTTATCATCCCGGACGGCAAAAGGGTATAAAGAAGTAAGATTCCCCTACATATTGTCTGTTCATGCTGACTTGTCAGTAAACGAACGGGGCTGGATAAGGCGCTGTATCAGATTGACCAGGCTGTCAAACGCGCCAGATCAGCGTCGCAGAAGAATCCCGAAGATGATAGGATTCTGAACCATTTGCAGGAATTGCTCAGCAATGCGAATACGCCTGAACACGCGACTACTCGTGGGTACAGTGTCAGCGGTGATGGCGATGAAGATGCGTATTCGGAAGAGGAGGAGGAGCAAGATCCTGTAGCAATGCCTGATTTTATCCAGAGGACGCAACAGAGTCTTGCCATTGACGATGCAGAGAATCCACTACAGCTTCTCGCGAGGGCATCCTATATCCAACCGTCACCTGAGTCGCGACATGGGAATTCTCCAATACAGGCGCATACGGCTAGTACGCAGGGTCAAACGGAGGATGAAATTCAAGCATTCTTTGCGCCGGCGCAAGTCCATCTCGATGTTGGACCTGATGTAGATCCTGTTTCTCTGGGCCTTGTATCTGAGGAGGAAGCGGATAAGCTCTTTAACTTGTGAGTTTGTTACTCCGTTTCTAGCGCGTACTAACCGCGTAGTTTTCATCGGAACCTCGCGCATACACGATGGGGTCTCGACCCGAGGATATACACTGTCGAATTCACGCGTTCGAGATCAGCGTTTCTTTACACGTCTATCATGGCTGCCTCTGCACTCTTCATGCCATCAGCAGCAGCTCTCTCAAAACGGTTATCGAATCACGCTAGAACTCTGGCGCATAGAGTGATGGTGAATCGATACAGATCTGTTGAGATCGTGCTTGCTTTCATGGTCAATATCCCATGGATGTTTCCGGGCCAGCACTCAACTGATGATGAGACATGCACTTATATCTCGATCGCCAACACGGTTGCTACGGATTTATCACTTCACAAAAGTCTCATCTCACCGGAAATGGTCGGTTCAGGGTCTGGCATCGGTCTAGCAAGGGGCGATTGTCTCGACCCAAGAGCTGCTCTCGCAATGGATGGATTCCC